ACCTCTACAGGGGAAGACTTTTTTGTGTGCGTTCGCGTGCATGTGTGTGTGTGGCTGGCTTGTGTGGGGATCCGAACCCATGACCTTGGTGTCGTAAGGCTGCACTCGAACCACTTGACACCTGTTCTTTACATTGGTATAAACTCACATCACACCAGGAGGGAATTTACTCGATTTGGGATCTTTTTGGCTTTTCTCCTTTACTATGAGATTTATCTTTCTCCCTCTCCTGCCGTGGCTGATTCATGACAGAATGTCGATGAGTATAGAACAGTGAAGCGTTTATGATCTATTAAAATCAGAACATGGTACTGAATGGTAACATTAAGTGACTAACGTAACTTGGGTTTGGATAGAAGTGTTCCTTCACCAAGGTCCGGGGTTCAGATCCCCATCCTGGCCAGCTGCCAAACAAACAAACAAAATCTTGGGCTGGATGGTCAGTTCGCTTGGTTAGAGCGTGGTGTTGGTAAGGCCAAGGTCAAGGGTTTGGATCCTCTTACAGGCCAGCCACCAAGCAACCGATCAATAATAAATAAATAATTAAAAAAAAAAAAAAAAGTGTTTCCTTTCACCATAGTTCAGAGTGCAAAACTCTTTGCTCTGTGCAGATTTCAGTTCTCTTTCTCTGACAGCCAGCCTGAGTCATCACACTGGAAGAAGAGATATTGGCTCTTAATGTGAGGACCATATGTCATATATATTTCACTTATTTGTTTCATAGATGAGAATCTTTCTGCTCATAGGTGTGGTCAGTTTATCTATATGTGTTTCAGCGAAAGACCTGCAAGACTCCACCTCTCTCTGAGCTTTGCAGCAGAAGTATTTTTCAAAACTGAAACATGGGAAAGGAAGAAGATCGTACAAAATATTTATCTGCTCATCTTCCTTATAGATTTTTTTTTTTTTAAAAGATGACCGGTAAGGGGATCTCAACCCTTGGCTTGGTGTTGTCAGCACCACGCTCAGCCAGTGAGCAAACCGGCCATCCCTATATAGGATCCGAACCTGTGGCCTTGGTGTTATCAGCACCGCACTCTACCGAGTGAGCCACGGGCCGGCCTTCTTATAGATTTTGACCCTTCAGAAAGATACTTAAAACAAAACAGAAATGGCCAAGAAATTTCACTGGTCTTTTTATAAAGTTCTGGCTCTGTGTTTCCTAATAGCTGAGTTTCTTTTTCTTTTTCTTTTTTTTTTTTTAAAGATGACTGGTAAGGGGATCTTAACCCTTGGCTTCGTGTTGTCAGCACCACGCTCTCCCAGTGAGCTAACCGGCCATCCCTATATGGGATCCGAACCCGTGGCCTTGGTGTCATCAGCACCGCACTCTCCCGAGTGAGCCACGGGGCCGGCCCCCGTAATAGCTGAGTTTCTGACCCCTGTTCTCAAGTGACCACTGTGGTGATTGCTTTCTGCAGCACAACACGGACACCGGAGGCGCCGACCACTCATGCAGCATCTGCGGGAAGTCGCTGAGCTCGGCCAGCTCCCTGGACCGCCACATGCTGGTGCACTCTGGCGAGAGGCCTTACAAATGTACCGTGTGTGGTCAGTCTTTCACCACCAACGGGAACATGCACAGGTGAGTGAGAGCAGCCTTCGTCCGGGTAGCTGCTGGTACTTGGAGTTTGATAGACAATGGCCTCTCAGCCACAAGAGGACTTGCCTATAGGTGCAGCGAGTTCTCGAGTTCTGTTCATCAAATGAAAAAGCCAGAGATGGTCTTCAGGGTATGCACCTTTAGAGGTGTCTGATCATGAGAAACAGAAATACCTGGGCAAGGTATTCTGAAGAATACCCTCGGGGTTCTTCAGGAGGAAACACAGAGTCATTCCCCCTCTCCCAACTGGAGTTTCTTTGTTTGGGTGCCAAAGTGGGCAGCTTATCATATACAGAGGAAGACACAGGGAGCAGCATTCATGTAACCCTGCNTTAGAGGTGTCTGATCATGAGAAACAGAAATACCTGGGCAAGGTATTCTGAAGAATACCCTCGGGGTTCTTCAGGAGGAAACACAGAGTCATTCCCCCTCTCCCAACTGGAGTTTCTTTGTTTGGGTGCCAAAAGTGGGCAGCTTATCATATACAGAGGAAGACACAGGGAGCAGCATTCATGTAACCCTGCCCTTTAACAAACATTGCATGTGCTTACCAGATTCCCCACAGATCATTTCCTTGCAAAAAAATTTCTGGGGCCTTTTAATAAAGAGTTAAGTGGCCTGGTCCTGGAACTTCAGGATAAGATAGGATAAAACGAAGGAAAAGGAAATCTGATAAATGTCAGGAAATTACTTACTGAGAGAGAAAGGTGTTCACTCAGAGGTGGGAGAGAGTACGGTGGTGGACGTATTAAAATTCTGTGGGAATGAACCAATGGAAAATATACTTGATAAAGTGATTGCATGTGTTTTGAGGGGTCATAACAGAAAGAATTTTTAAACGCTCACTTTTTTTACACAAACATTTTAGGAACATTGAAACTCTAGGAAGGTGGGGGAAGGCACTCATAATTTAACTTCTCAGAAAATCAGGCTATTTTTATTTTTTCATATTCTTTTCCTATCATTATTCTCCTTTTAAAAAGTTGAGTAACATTTTTTACATACTTATTTCAAAAGAGAACTTTATATAACTATTGTGAAATTAGTATACTAGTTATGTTTGATTATATATAAATACTAAAATGAGATGGTCTGGTTTATTCCACCTAATATAATTTTATGAGCCACAGATGGTACACTTGGGACTTAATCTCTTTGTACTCAGTTTGATCATTTTTAAAATGAGATTTTTAATAGTGTCTACTTCATTGAATTAGGATGAGGATTAGGAGCTTATGAGTTTAGCACAGTTTCTGGCACATAGTAAGCACTCAATAAATGTTATCTGTTATTATTGTCATTTGCATTTCTAAGTACAGCTGCAGTAATTTAAAGCCTATGGATTTCTCAGCCCAAACTCCTAGAAGTGACGTATAGTAAGACTTCATGATGGGTATGAATGTTTTAAAGAATTTTTATAGTGTTTTGCTTTTTTTTTTTTT